AGGCTGAGGCAGGAGACTCGCTTGAGCCCAGGAGTTGGAGGTTGCTGTGAGCGTGATGCCATGGCACTCTACCCAAGGGGATAGCTTGAGGCTCCGTCTCAAAAAAAAAAGACTCTGTATATAGGAGAGCCAGGCATAGTGGTTCTTACCTGTAATCTCAGCGACTTGAGAAGTGAGTTGGGAGGATCACTTGAGCCCAAGAATTTGAGACCAACTTGGGCAACATAGCAAGACTCCTATCTCTGCAAAGAAAAAAAAATTTTAATTAGCCAGATGTGGTGGTGCACACATGTAGTTCTAGCTATTTGAGAGACCGAGGCAGAAGGGTTGCTTGAGCCCAAGAGATTAAGGTTGCAGTGGAGTTCAAAGTTGTAGCAAGCTATGATTGTGCCACTGCACTCCAGCCTAGGTGACAGACCCCATCTCTAAAAAAGAACAAACAAAAAAATTTGTATATAGGGGCACACATTTTTCTTGAGGACCAGTATGGGCATGGGTGAGGAAGGAAATGAGCTGGGCTGGGGGACCCAAGAGGCATAGGCCATGTTTTCATTATCCAACAAAGCCTGGATTTACAAGGTGAAGAGCTCATCAACAAGGGGTCTGGGTCTATGCATTTGACCAAGCACACAAGATGTCACCAACAAGCCCAGACTGCAGGGGAGTGTTGGATGGGCTGAGTTTGCTGGACCTGTGGCCACTTGGAGGAGATTTCCAGGGGAGAGATAGATACTGAGGGCTTGGCAGAAAATCGCATGTAAGTGGCATCCCCAATGTCCAGGGAGAGGGGGGCTATGAGATTGATGAGAGCTGAAGAGGGGACAGTAAGATCACCCATGCATGAGCATGGGTTAGGGAACCCAGCACGCATGTGGGCAGCCACATGGGTGCTGCTCAATGCCTGGGAGGAGGATGGGACTCTGGCCAGTGGTGCAGAGCCCCAGCTGAATGGTCTTAGGCCTGACTGAGCTGGGGATACTCATCTCTAAAGATCCTACCCTGAGCAGTTTACTGGAGTGAGGTAGGGTAAAGGGTAGTAACAGGGATTTAGTGGGCAGAAGCAAGCCAGAGAATAAGCAGCCTTGAGGAGCAGGAAGTGTTAATGAAAGGGAGGAAGCTGTGAGGAGAAGTAGACTAGTGGTGTCTTCTACATAGTTGCCTTGCTTTGGAAGGAAGGTACTGAGCTCCACAGCCTTCCTGGGCAAGGGATAGAAAAGAGCCCAAACAATATTTAGGAGCTGGACCATGCCATTCAGGGAATCCTCCTACACATTATTCTGACCCCAGGATCTGGGATTCAGGAATTATTCCTGGATCCTATGGGTTGGGGATGCTGCCTGGCCTCCAACTGCCCTATCAATGGTCAGCAAGCATGAGAGGCCCCTGAGTCTTCCAACCCAAAGCCTGCTCAGCCCTGCTCACCACAACAGTGTAATTATATCCTAAGGAACAGGATCAGTGGGTGCCCAATGCCTGATTCACAGTCCAGGGCAGAGGATCAGAGAAAGCTTGTCCACAGGACAGTGGACACACCTTAGTCTTGTAGGTAGGGGGCATTTACTATGGGCACCTCTAGCCACTACCATCTCTGCCTGACTTACAACCTCAAGGTGTCCCTTAGGGTCCCCATGGCCTTCAGCTCTGGCTCTGGCAGGACTAACCTGGCCCAGCCACTGACCAGAGATTAGACAAGCCTGGTGTACGGTTAATGCCACTGACGTCAGGGCCTGGCTGGGTGGCCACTGGGGTTTGAGCCCTCCCCACAGGCAGTAGCATAGCCCATGTGATCAGAGCTCATTAAGCCGCTTCAGTGGCCAGAAAAGCTAGGGGCCAGATCTCAGGGGAGAGAGGGTAGTCATGCCAGGGCTGCAGGGGCAGACCTCAGCTGGGAGGTCACCAGCTCTGGGGGCCCAGGTTGGGAAAGGTTAGATAGGAAGTTTGCATATGGGGCCCCTCTATATTCTATATATGAAATACCTTATGTTGTGACACTAACCCCCTGCTCATAGGCAAAGAGGAGCCTCCCAGGCACCAAACTGCGTAGAATATATATAGTCAGGAGCTGTGGATGTTGGTATTTGACCCTGGAATGTGAAGGTAAGGACCACCCTCTCCTTTAAGGCCTTTAAACCCCACAGCATGACACTGGAACAAGTGCCCTGCCCCCACATGCAGCCCTCCAGGTAACTATTCTGATCTCACACTCACACTCCCTTTCCCTTTGGCTGAGCTGTTTCCTCCATCTAGTATGCTCTTTCTCTTCCCCACCCTGCCATCTACCCTCCTTCCCCTTGGCAAAGCCAAACCCAGAGGCTGTGTCACTGTTGGACATTCTTTGATTTATGCCTTCCAGACTGCCCATAGATAGTACTTGGAGCCCCTGTGGCTGGGACTGTGTGGATAAGATGGGAAGGAGCAGCCATATCAGGTATTGAAATAGCTGGCTTTTCCTGGATACTCACACAGGGTTCTCAGGGTGATCTTCTACTTGGGTACTGAAGGACAAGTAGGAGTTTGCCAAGGTGAGAGAAGGTGGGAAACCTTTGGCCCTGGGAACCACAAGCCCAAAGGCACAGAAGCACAAAGGCTGACATGTTCTGCAAACAGCAGGAATGTGTATGTGGTCATCAGGACCATGGGGAAGGTGGAGGGTCCACTGGGAATGGGCTGGGGGGATATTAGAGAGGCCAGCAGCAAAAGGGCAAGAGCCTGCAGGCTGTCCAGGGAGTCAGTGTATATAGAAGCTGGGCTTGGGAAGGACAAGGTTGAAGGTGAAGATGAGATATCATGTTCAAGATAGTCTTGAGGACTGTGTGTATGGTGTGCCAACAGAGGTGGTGTCATGGTGAGATGGGGCTACCCAGCTGGAGGCTGAGAATTCATGACTAGAGACAGAGGTGGAGAGCAAAGATCTACTGGGGCCCTGCAGGGAGGCTCTGAGCAATCATGGGACCCTAAGTTCTGCCCATGTGTTTGGCAGTCTCTTGGACCTATGTTGAAGTTTGCAGAGATGGATGAGTAGAGGCTGGAGCTGGGCTGAAGCTCCTCCCACCTCCGACCCCAGGTGACTGCCCCCTCAACATTGTGGCTACATGGATGGACATTCCCTCTAGCCTTTGGGAGAAGACACCAGTAGCACTCAGAGACCCATCCCAGCTGTCCAGTTGTCCAGCCACCACGGGGCTGGCTGGGAGATTTGGCAGGTGGCAGGAAAGGCCTCTGAGCTGTGTTTGTCCTGGCCAGGGCCCAGGCTTCGCAACAACAAACATGCAGCCTGTCCCCCCAGCCTGGCTATAACTGGCATGGCCTGAGGACCCCACATCACACCCAACTCTGGGCTTCTCACAGCAGCCCACCCCAGGCAGCTCCTTGTCCCTCCAGGCAGGGTGACCTTGAGTCAGGCCTGACCCCCACCTCAAACTGCCAGTGGGGGCCACCATCCCTTTACAAATGCCCCCTGTGAACATCCAAGAGTACCTTCAGGTGAGAGATAAGGGGAGGGCCTGAGACCACAGCACCTTTCCTGTCTGGCTTTGTCTCATGGAAGAGCTATACCCTTTTGGGAAGGTGGGTGTCTAATAGGCCCACATGATCAAAATGAACTCTGATCCCAGGATTACATCAGCCACAGGTCAGGAGGCAAAGACAGTCTCTTCCAATTTTCCAGCCACCACAAGACAGTAGCTTGGGTGGTTTGAGGTTTTCTGGGGTTGTCGCTATTCCAGTGCCTTTCTCTTTATCCTTCTCAGCCTCCTGGAACTCCCAGTCAGAGATAAGTCCCCTTGACTCACAGCTTTCTCTTCACCCAATCCCTTCAGATCAGAAGAAAAGTCAGAACCACTTCTGGGAACACAGTGGGAAACTGAGGTATGCTAGGGCTTGGCTGTGGTGGTGCTGTGAGTCAGCAGGAGAGAATCCTGGAGTCCTGACTCCCAGCCCTGGGCAGAAATGGGGTTAGGCATGTTCTCTGAGGGAAGAAGGGTAGACATGACACAGAAGTCCAGCTTGGATACAGAACAGCAGAGGCCATGGGATTAATCAGATCAGAGCCAGTGGCTGAGAAGCAAGGGGCACAGCTGTTCTGGGACACAGCCTCCAGATCACTCCTAAGGTTATTGTCTACCCCTGCTCCCTAATGGCTGGCCCTTGGACCTCAACACCCACCACCCACCTCTAAGCTCCAAGGTCCTAGGTAGGATAGGAGTGGTGGGATAGGAATGGGGTCCAAGAATGAGGTCATGCTAAAACTTCTGCTAGAGCACCAAGTCCTGGCCCCCACTTTGCATGGGCAAGTTGACAACTGTCTCCTACACTTAGAAATAAGGAAATGGGGCAGTGAGGCCCCAGGCAAGGATCAGAGCAGAGCAAGCTTTGCTCTCCTCCTATCTTATATCCCTGCAGCTGTTTGTTCCAGAACCCTATCCCCCCTGGTTGGGAAGGGTGAGGCAGGTAGAAATATTCTATTGCCTGAGTGATGTCTGAAGTCCCCTATTCAATCACCATTCCCTGAGATTAAGCATTGCCCTAATCTTGCTCCTCTTGGCTGAAGATCTCCTTTTGGCTTCAGGCAGGTGAGTGAGGTCAAAGCACTTCAGGGATTACGGGGACAGAGACCTCAGAAAGAATCTACTTTGGACTTTGGACGGAAGTATTCCCTCCGCAAGATTCAACTGAGCCCCTCTAGGAGCAGCAGCTCTCCTACCTAGGGGCTCCCTAGCTTTCCAGCTGTCCCCTTGCTCCGGGCCTGCCCTGGCCCCCGCCGCTCTCCGACCAGCCCCTCCTCCCGCGGGCTGCAGGGGATTGGCGGGCCGGGGGCGGGCCGGGGGCGGGGCCGGGCGCCCTTCATCTCCCGCCGCTGCTGTCGCTGTTGCAGCCTTGGTTCAGCAGCGAGCAGAGCAGACCGCACCGGCCCTAGCAGAGCTAAGTGCGTGCCCAACCGTGAGACCAGGTACCGCTGCGGGTTTCGACCGGCCCAGGGGCACTGGGAGGGCTTAGTCCTACTGTCCACTCTCCGGTCCATGCCCGAGCTCTGGGCGGCTCCCCCTCCCTTCTTGACCCCAGCAGGAGCCCCAGCCTCCTGTGAGTCAAAGCCCCGCGCGCTCTGCAGCGGGTCTCGGGACAGGCCAGTCGGAACTCAGCTCTGAACGTGAGAGGGGTACCAGGGACCTCTTGACCGGACTGGGGCTACAGGACTCCTTGCTGGGGGCTCCGGCGGTACCCGACTGGCTTCCTCAGGCTGTGCCCACGGGGACAGGCTGGAGAGGGTCCTGAAGGAAGACCCAAGAGGGGCCCGGAGCAGTTCCTGGAGCGCTGCCCCGACGGGCGCCTGACAGGCAGAGCAGCCAGGCTGGCACGCCGGGAATCCGGGTATATTTATCCCAGCTGCATTGGGCAGGGGCTTGAGGGCAGATGGGGCCGGGCTGCCTAAGCGGCCGCGGGGTACATGCTGACCCCAGAATGAGTGCCATTTGCAGTGGAGCCAGCAGGCACCGCGGGCACAGGGCGCGCATGGCTCCTTGGCCTGAGGGCGGGCACCACGTGTGCTCTTCCCCACTTGGCGCCTGGGTAGGGCGCAAGTATGAGTCTGCGGGGCTCACGGGATAGGGAAGGGACCAAGACTTGGTTTGCATCAGCCCGCCCCCGCCCGACTGGACCCTTCTATTGGCCACTGTGAATGTGTGCGTTTGTTTACAGCTGGGGAGGGGGAGGCCAGGGGCGGGGCCTATGGAGATCCACCTTTTTCCCCCTGCAGTGACCTGTGCTCTGAGCCCAGGTATGGGTTTTCAAATGGCGCTCTTAGCCCTGAAGAGGGCTACGTCAAGGCCCTTGATACCTGGAGAACATCGTAAAGGGCACTTCCACTCATGCCCATCCTTCCTTCAGCCTGCCAGCCCTGTCCTTCTTCCTATGACGGCCTCTGCCACTGTGCTGCCTCTGGAAGAAGCCCTTGGATCTTCCACCCCTTCCTCTTCAGTAAACATGCTGGGATAGGGCCCATTTCCTTCTGGAAAAGCACAAATCCCTTGGGGATCTTAGTTTGGGGGCTAGAAAGCTAGAGAGATCCAAGGACAGTTCCATATTGAATGGGGGGAGGGGTTCAGCACAAGCATGGCAGGGCAGGAAAGGAGGTATAAGAAACGAGTGAGGCCAGGCTTGGCACATCTCTGAAAGGGCTGGAATAAGTGAAATCAGGAATGGGAATCTCTGACTTTTGGGGTTGGAGACAGGAGACTGCCCTCTGGGGAGGGTGAGAGTTTGTGTTTCAGAATTTTATTCTGTCTAGGTCCATGAAGCCCATATCCTCACTGGCCTCTCACTTACGGGCTTATATTTTGGCCCCTGTTACAAACTGTCCACACCTCAGTCCAGGGCTCCAGGTAGATAGACCATGAGAGTTGGCTGCTTCTGTCTTTGTGTCACTACCTTAACAAGCTGCCTTGGAGCCCTGGGAAAATGGAGAAACTGAGTCACAACAGACAGGCCGGGTGATTCATGGTCTCTGGTTGGGTAAGAGAAGGATTGTAAACTGAAGTGAGAATACTCTGGAAGTCTGGGCTAGGTGTGAGACAAGCACGCAGTTTGAAGGGAAACATGCCGGCAGGAGAGTAGAGGATGGCTGGCTACCAAGGAGGTACAATTTTGGCATCTGTGTGCGTAAAAAGGTGGGCTAGGCTGTACAGCCTATGCCATAGTAGAATGGGGGCCTTGTGGGAGGCTATTCTAGTGCAGGCAGGGCCAGGGACCAGACCTCACTTGGAGCAGGCATAGGCTGAGGACTTGCAGATGGTCCTAAATGCATTCCACTCACATAACATTTGCTGAGCACCTACTATGTTACCTGTGTATACTCAGTCTAGTGGTAAAGGATGGGCCTTTGACTCCGCCTGGGAGGACAGACACAGGAGAACAGGGTGGGGCTCTAGAGGATCAGGCTGGGTGTTTGGGGGCCAAAGGGAAAGACCAGCTGCTAGGGCAGGAGGGGCTTTCCGGCCAGTGGCTTGGGGTGGCTTGGTTTTGAATTTCCGCTCTGCGGGCCACGTCCTGTGCACAGCCTCTCAGCCAGCACGTCTGCACACGTGCATGGCTACTGATAATGGGGGTCACTCCAACTGACCATCATCTCTGCATGTCTTTTCCATTGTTCAAGTAGGCAAATCCTGGGTGCTAGATCAGTGATCTCTGAACTTTCCAGCTGGGTCTGGCCTTGTGGCCCTGGTGGGCTCAGCCCCAGCCCCTGAATGTAATTGCATCTGGCTGTTAGGGGCATAACCTGCCTTGTGGGGACCTGGAGATGCAATCGTGGCCTTGTGAGGTCTTCCAGGGTTCTGCCTGGCTATCCCTTCAGTGCTCATTGGGCCTTCTGCCCCCTCCCTGGGCCTTCTGTCTCCCTCTCTCCTTCTTACTGCTTCTGGGGCTCCTTTTTTTGGGGGGGGCCTCTGTCTTTAGTTGACTGTTTCTTGCCTCTTGTTATTTCTATTTCTTTCCATCTTGTAGTCTCTGACTGGTTCATCATCTATCACTTTTCTGATTGTCTCTGACTCTCTCTGTCTCCTTGTCTGAATGTATGTCCACCTATATACATGTGACTTTTGTCTCTCTCTATATATATATTGTTTTCTATGTCCCTCTATATCCATCTGAATTTCTTTATCTCCCTGGGCCTCTCTCTCTGTCTCTGTCTATGGGTCAGTGTGCATGGACATATGTATTTAATGTCTGTGTGTTTTCTCTCCCTCCACTCTCCCTGTATATCTCTTTCCTTCTTCTGCCTTGCTTTGCTTCTTCATGATTTTAGACATCACCCCTCCAGGCTGATTTGCCTTTAGCCCACCCATCAGGGTCTCCAGTGAGTCCTGAACTGTCCGAGGCCTGTGCTCCAGCTTTCTTTGGGGCCAGAAGTCCGGCTGTCCAAATATTTGGCCACCTCCAGGGGATTCCGGGTCAGCAGGAAGGAGAAAGGGCTGGCTGGCGCAGGGTCTTCCCTACCTCTGGGGGGCCATGATCACGTGATGTCCTGTCCTTTGCCTCAGCTGGGCCTTGGGCTGCACGTCCCTCTCAGCAGGCTGGCAATGTGGGGGAGGGGGCTGCTGCTGGCTTTGACCCACTCTTAAACCAAGAGGTTCTGACTGCACCTCACTGGGAGCAGCCTGAATAAAGAGGGTCCAGGTCTGGATGGGAGGGAACACCAAGGAGGCTGGAGCTAGGCCCAACTATAAGCATCTGTTAGAAAATGTACTCTGTCACAGGAAAGTCTACCTTCCGGCCCCAGCTGGGTCTCTCAGATCCTCCTAGACACCTCCGGATGCCCAGAACACAGAGGCACAGACCCCAGATCCCAGGGCCAGGGAGGGGGTGTGTGTGAGGGATTAGTGTGGCCAGTATATCAATGCTCTGGGCCATTTGCCTTTTTCCTGGATGTGCCCCTCCTGCATGTCACCCCCTTCAGTACCGGCCCAATATCAGTCACACACTGGCCACTTGCATTGTCGTTTTGTGTTGTTGATGATGAGGGAGTTGGCAGATGGGGAACTGGAATCTACCAGAGTCAAAATATGGATATATGGGTCTGAGGGAGAGGCAAAGGATGTCTTTTCCCTATTCAGATACTTTCCTCCCACTTGCCTTATCCCTGAACCCCTGACCTCAGCTCCCACCAATCCACTGTGGTTGTGCCGTAAGACATATAATTCAAACATGTCAATTGCATCCTGTTTCCTTGCTTGCTGGTGGCTTGTCCTAGGAGGGAGTGTCTTCCCTCTGAAACTTGTAGAAGCAAGTGAATAGAGGGGTAGCTGTTTAGATGGATAACTGACTGGGAGGGGTACCCTGTGTCAGCCAAGGAAAGGGGAGTAAAGGATGAGCTGAGCTAGAGCTGAGGTAGTCCTCAGCCATGAGCCCTCTGGGATGAGCACAGTGGACCCTCAAGCCAGGCCATCTGCATCTCTCCTGAGATCGGGGCTGAGTTGAAGGCTGCCCAGGCACAGCAAGCTCCATGGAGTCTGTGACCCCATCCGTGCACATGGCCACAAGACCAAAGGAAGGACAGTATGGATGCCTCCTGTAGCCAGCTCACTATTGCACCCCCACTTTTGTCTCTGAGCATTACTGGGAAGGAAAGAAAGGCTCAGAGCCTTGGGGATGCCAAGGACCTCCATCCCTGGACAGAGAGGTGTGCTTCCTATAGAGGCTGACACAAGCAGCCACACCCCCAAGGTGGCCTGGATTCCTGAGCCTCAAAATCTTTAATTAGCCAAACTCAACACCTGCCAAAGTGTGCTTGATGTATTCTCACCCTGTGATGTCTGCGTGGGCGGGCGTTATTTGCTGTACCATCCTTGTGTCTCCTGGCCCCTCCTGGCTCTTATCTCTCAGAAGAGCAAACAGGTCCTAGGGCAGTGGCCTTGGCCATTGATTTACTGCCTGGGCCCATGCTGCACCCATGAAAGATGCCATTCTAATGATCTGCCCAAAGTTGCATAATCTCCCTGACCCAGCACCAGCCTCTTCTCTGGGCATCCTTGGCCTGCCCTGGGGGTTAAAGGCCTTAGGGAGGCTACTCACTGTACAGCTTGGCTAAGCCTCAAGGGACCCCTAGAGGACAGGGCAATGCTGAGGGGTCTTGAATAGGGAGTACTCTGTCCATGGTCACAGTAAGACAGGACCAAGCTAGGACTTAGACTCAGAGTGTCTACTCTGGGCTTTCACCACAGTAAACAGGCTCTGCTGGCAACTTTTTCTTACATAGGGCTCTCCCCTGAGCTTGCCCTGACTCCGCGATACAAAGGAGTCTGGGAGGCAGTAGGTCTGAGGGGTGGGAGCTGTCAAGTCTCAGCAAATAGCTGGAGACCCACATGCCAGGCCTGAGCTAATCCCCTCTGTAGTCCTCAAGGACTCATTCTGGCCCTAAATGGAAATACAGACCCCTTGCCTGGATGTTAGGGTTCTTTCAGGCTTATCTGTAGCTATGGAACCTTCACTTCACCCTCACAGCCTGCCTTGCCCCTCATCTCAGGGCCTTTGCCTATGTTGTGTCCTCTGCCTGAGGCATTCTTTCCAGTTGGACAACTCAGGGGCTCCTTCTGGAATTCTGGGACTAGCTTCACCACCTCCTCCAGGAAGCCTTCCTTGATCCCTTTTTTTGGAAGGCAGCTATGCTCACCACTGTACCACCAATGTCAGCACTTGATCCCTTTTTTGAATCCCAGTAGTATGTGACTCATACGCAGTTGCAGGAAGAGCTATAGGGTGGTGGTGAGGGTGGTATGGAGGGTGTCTTTTCAAGACTGAAGTTACTTGAGGCAGGGTATTCCATGTCCTTTCTGTGATCTTAGGCCAGCCCAAGACTCAGCAATGACTGGTCATAAGTAATAGCCACTAAGCCCCAAAGATCTAGGCCCAGGTCCTACAGAGGGGTCACGAAACCTGAAGCCAGGACCTCAGACACCTGGAGCCCATACCATGGACTGTGGTCTCCCTAGAGGCAGTGCCTTGCTGCTAGGGAAAGATATTAAGTCAGAAAAGTGTGCTTTGTCCAGGCTGCCAACTCAGCACACTCTGAGGGCCTGTCCAAGCTTGCCCCAGGCAGGGGGATAAGTGAGGACAACCCCAGTGGAGTGCCAGGGGCACTCTGGAGTGACTCTGCAGACCAGGCGCCCACACTTTCACACCCAGGTAGGATCCTTGGAGGGGTGCAGAAGGCAAGGCTGAGGGTGGGCTGGAAGGAAAGAAGGGCTCAGAGGCCAGCATCAGAAGGAAAGGAATGTTTGAGGGGTACAAGAGTCCCAAGTGTGAAGTCTCTAAGGCCAAAGTGCCTGGGATCTGAGCTCTGGCTTGGGGCTTCCTGGGGCAATGCGGGGAAGAGAGTCCTTGGTCAGTGGTGTGTGGATGCTGCCTCTGAAGTACTAGGGCCAGAGGCCTGAACCTCATCTCTTCTGTTTACTCCCACCCCTGAGTGCTAAGTTAGAGCCCCTTAGTGTTCCAGATTCAAGAGCAGACCTGAGAGCATCAGGGGCTAGAGTGAAGATAGGGGATTCAAGACAAGATTTAGGGCTCCTGGCTCGGCGCCTGTGGCTCAAGCGGCTAAGGCGCCAGCCACACACACCTAAGGTGGCAGGTTCGAATCCCCAGTCCAGGCCCGCCAAACAACAATGATGGCTGCAACCAAAAAATGGCCAGGCGTTGTAGCGGGCGCCCGTAGTCCCAGCTACTTGGGAGGCTGAGGCAGGAGACGCGCTTGAGCCCAGGAGTTGGAGGTTGCTGTGAGCGTGATGCCATGGCACTCTACCCGGGGGGATAGCTTGAGGCTCCGTCTCAAAAAAAAAAAAAAAAGATTTAGGGCTCCTAAGAAGAGCAGGTATCTGGCTGGCCTCTGGCTATCCTGCCTAGAAGTGTTGTGCCCTTTCTGGTCTCCACTCTGGCCTTAGCTTTCCTGCTAGCCAATCTGGCTTTCAGGATGTCCTTATAGAACCTGAGGGCATTATGCCTAGTTACCTCTTGGTATGAGGTAGGCACCTCCCAGCCCCAGGGATGGAAGAGGGGCCAGTGAGTTGTCTGGACAGTGGGAAGGTATGGGAGGCAAGGGAACTGATTCCTTTGAGGCCCAAAACAGTCAAATCCTGAGAATAGGGACAAGGCACTACCTGGCAATCCATGTTCCTCTATGGCTACATAAGGCCCTGAGCTCCTAGCCTGGGGCTTCAGGAAATAGAGGGTACATTCAGAGGGTCCACTCTTGGATGGTGGGCACCTGAGGGTTGGGGGTTCCCTGACAGGTGATAAGAGGCTCAAAGAACATGGCTCTAAGGCCAGAGCTCAATAGAGGGTAAGGCCCAAGTAGCCCAGAGAGCTGGGCCCTGGAGCACCCATTTCCTGGAAGGTCCCCTGAGGGCCCTTTGCCACAGTCAGGCGGGAAGGGCCCAGGTGTCCAGCCACCCAGCACCGCCTCAGGCATCCTGGCTCCAACGGGGGACAGCCTCTGCGCCTGCCGTTCCCAGCGCCAGCTCTCAGCCCACAGAGGGGCCTTTGTTCTGGTTGCCAACAGTGCCCGCCGGGCGGCTGGGAACAGGGCCCACAGCCCTACCCTCTCCCAAGGCCCCCAGCCATCGGACAGTGCCATTCTAGGTTGTCCAGGAGGCCACTGACACATAGGGCCAGTGCAAGAAACCATCTTCTAGTACTAATGTCAGAGAAGGGGAGTCTGTCCAGGATGCATACCAGGACTGGGACCTAGAGGCCTGGGACTCAGCACCAGAGATCCTGGTGCCACTGGCTCTGAACTCAGGTCATCCAGATGACTTTTACTTCACAAATGGGAAACTGAGTCCCCAAGGCCTTGACTCAGTGTGTGTGTAGGGGGTGCATTGTGTACTGGCTACAGTGTCCCATCAGGATATCTTGGGACCTCAGGTGTCTGAGCTCTCTTCCCCCAATGACAGAAGCCAGGGAGGCAGCAGGCAGAGTTGCATGTGTGTGTGTGTCTTGAATTACCCCGGGGAGGTGCACTATGGTTGCAGGCCTCATGTAGGAGGACCCAAGGAGTGGGCATAACCAGAAGGACTGGCTGCTCTGAAGACTACTGTGTTGGTTTGAGGGCAGTGCTCCTAGTGGTATTACCTGAGCCATGGAAGCGCCTTTGCAGACAGAGATGGTGGAGCTGGTGCCCAACGGCAAACATTCAGAGGGGCTACTCCCAGTCATCACCCCCTTGGCAAGCAACCAGAGGTGAGTAGAAGAGGGACCCTGTGATGGTTTAAGTCAGGGCAGGGAAGGGATACAGAGGAAAGGGCTAGAGCTGAGCCACCTGCCCTGGCCTGTGCCTGCAGGGTTGAGGACCTCGGACGGAGCTGTGTTGAGGGCAAGGGCTTCCTGCAGAAAAGCTCCAGCAAAGAGCCGCACTTCACTGACGTGAGCTGGGCAGCAACGAAGGGGCTTGGGGGTACTGTGGGAAGTTGGATGCAGTAATGATGTGCTATGGGGCAGCAGCAGGAGGCCAAGGGACAGTGAGGGGAACCCATGATGCCTCCATGCCTAGCTAACTCCCCCACCCCTCACCTTCCCACTCTGGTGCCTGCAGTTCGAGGGGAAGACATCATTCGGGATGTCAGTGTTCAATCTCAGCAATGCCATCATGGGCAGCGGCATCCTGGGGCTCGCCTATGCCATGGCCAATACAGGCATCATCCTTTTTCTGTGAGTGCCCTCAACAAACCTTCTAAAACAGGGAGCCCTGAACAAGCCTCCAATTATGTGACCTTCCAGGACCTGCCAGTTCCGTGTCCCCAGGCCTAGGCTGCAGTGGGTGGGCGCTTCTTACAGTAAACTCAAACCACGGCTGAAAAAACATCTGTGGCCATACAAATTTACCTCACTGCCCAGTAGACTCACTGAGGTCAGGACACAGGGCCAGCCCTACAGGCCTGAGTGTGTCCTTCTACCACCTTTACATGTGACGGCCAAGCCCATGGCCAGGTCTCGTGTGGGTACACGTGTCCTTTGCCTAGGGGCTTTGCCCAGCAGCTTGAATGGAAAACATGTCTGTCCCAAGGACTCAAGAAGAGGAACTACTCAGAGGGCAGTTATAGGGACACTCTTGACCCAGAGGGCCCTTTCTGGGCATATCCCATCCTGGGTCAAACAGGGCCCAGGGCCTGCTGTTTCATCCATACCTGTTGGGGGATCCAGACACCCAGGTCATGAGACAGAGCAGACAAGTGGCTGACAGACTCCACATCCAGTACTCCCAAACCCCTCACCCCTGACCAGCCAGGGGACCCCCCCATGTTTCTTTTCATCTTTTCATCTATCTTCCCATGTTTCCCAGATTCCTGCTGACAGCTGTCGCCCTGCTCTCCAGCTACTCCATCCACCTGCTACTCAAGTCCTCAGGAATTGTGGGTGAGCCTCATACTGCCTGGAGCAGACTGGGGGTAAGGAGGACTGGGGTGAGCTGCCCTGACATACTGACTCCCTGCTCTTGTAGGCATCCGTGCCTATGAACAACTGGGCTACCGTGCCTTTGGGACCCCAGGAAAGCTGGCAGCGGCCCTGGCTATCACATTGCAGAACATTGGAGGTGAGATGAGTGGGCAGGGGACAGGCAGGCAAGGGGTGGGTGGACAGGCCTGAAGACTGACTAGTTTGGCTGACCCCAGTGCCTGCCTGTCCCTCTCCCCTCAGCCATGTCCAGCTACCTGTACATCATCAAGTCTGAGCTGCCCCTTGTTATACAGACCTTCCTGAACCTGGAGGAGAAAACCTCGTGAGCTCTGGGGTGGCGAGGGCTGGGTGAGAGTGGGAAGCCCTAGTCTGTCCCTCCATGCCCTTCACTGGCTCTGGGGGTCCAGGCTGGGCTGGTAAGAGAGACGAGACAGAGCAGACAAGTGGCTGACAGAGAAAGCAGAGAGTTGCCAAAAGAGCCAACATTCAGTCCACACTTGTTTATGAAGCACCCAGGGGACCCCCTAGCTCTAGACCTGGCCTGAGAGCATGAGTGCCTTGGGCTTAGCTATAAGCACCTGCTATTCCTGACCATGAGCTAGGAATGGGTGGGGCCAGGGTATCCCATTTGCCCATCACTTTAACCATAGAAAACATGTCTGTCCCTTTAGCCAGCTGAGCTGAGCATCAGCTATGTTATGTGGTGAGAGGCAGAGAGTACACAGGCCCTGCTCTTGGCAGCCCAGCTCAGGCAAGCAGAGGGACTGTGAGGCTCACAGCTGCTTTGGAAGGGGGATGAGTCAAGATTCTGCCCTGGGGGCCTTTCCCAAGGGGTTGGCCTTTGGGCTTACTCTTGAAGGATGGTCCTGGCCCTTATCTCCTTGCCTCCTATGCTGCTGAACATTCCTGGGGAGTAGAGGAGGGGGAAGAATAATATAAGGTCCAGAAGCAAGAAGGAACCACACAGGGTTCAGGTTATTGGCAAGTCCCTGAGATCCTCAGGAAAAACAGTACCCGCTCCAGAGCCAGGTCCCTTCATCCCAATCACCTCCCTCCAGAGGTTGGGTCCACTCCTGTGTGTCCTGAGAAAAACAACAGCAGTGACTATAATCATAATGGTTACCAAGCACAAGCTATGTGCCAGGCCAGCACCTTAGTCCTCCTATCACCGAGAAGCAGGACACTGAAAGTATGCCCATTTTGCAAATGGAGAAAGGGAGACTTAGGCTGTGGACAAATATTCTTCAGAGGTCACTCAGTGGCTTAGTGGTGTCACTGGTGACTCCAGTTAGGGGAGGTGGCCCACCCTAAGCTGCATGGACTCTGACCTTGTTCCCCACTCCTATTATGCAGGGACTGGTACATGAATGGGAATTACTTGGTGATCCTGGTCTCTGTCACTATCATTCTGCCTCTGGCACTGATGCGGCAGCTTGGTGAGTATGGCAGGGTGGGGTCTTGGAGGGGGATTTTGGAGGGATACACAAGAGGGAGCCCCAGTCTCACATCCCACCTTCGTTTTATAGGCTACCTGGGCTACTCCAGTGGCTTCTCTCTTAGCTGTATGGTGTTCTTCCTAATTGCAGTGAGTCACCCTCCATGCTGGGAGAAGAAAGGGGCAGGTCAGAGGGAAGGGGCAGATCTCTTTGGGAAGCATGGGCCAGAAGGTAGCTCCTCCAGTCCTAATCTAAAGCAGCTTCATGGTGATTTCCCAGGCAGCCTAGTCTGACTCTGATACCCTGATCCCTCCCTATACCAGGTCATCTACAAAAAGTTTCACGTGCCCTGCCCATTGTCCCCCAACTTCACCAATATCACAGGCAACGTCAGCCACGTGGAGGTCATTGAGGAGAAGGTGCAGCTGCAGGTGGAGACTGAGGCTGCAGCCTTCTGCACCCCAAGCTACTTCACACTCAACTCACAGGTTCTGATAGGCCAGGGAGGGACAAGGGGCCTGGTAAGAGGGGACTGCCTTGACATAGTCTCATGTTTCCCCAGACAGCATACACCATCCCCATCATGGCCTTCGCCTTCGTCTGCCACCCAGAGGTGTTGCCCATCTATACAGAGCTCAAGGAGTAGGTGTCTGTAGCTTGGAAGGGACAGGGCTGCCTTGAACTGGTTTGGGGAGAATGGATGTGGTCCTGGGTATGTGTGGGGAGTGACAGGAGCCAAATCACTTTATCTAAGATCTCTGTGGCTTCCATGAGGAGAGATTGGGGCAAGAAGGAGGCTTCTTCAGCTGATAAATGATTTGACCCTGGGCACATGGAGTCCCCAGTGTGGCCAAGCTTGTCACTAATGTGCATCCTCTACTGCCCCATAGCCCCTCCAAGAGGAAGATGCAGCACATCTCTAACCTGTCCATTGCTGTCATGTACGTCATGTACTTCCTGGCTGCCCTCTTCGGCTACCTCACCTTCTATGGTATGGCTGGACCAGTGGGCAGAGGCTGAGGCCTGGCTGGGGTTAAGGGGCTGTTCAGTATGGCCATAGTACCCTGCATTCTATAGGCCCTTATTAGATACACGATGCACGACTATACCCTGTAGCTGTAGAAGTGAGTCTGCACACTACTCCCCACCGTGTCAGGGTCCACCAGGCAGCTCATTTCCCAACTCCGTCCTGGCCACCTGCTGACCACTATCCCTACCTGCCATAGATGGGGTGGAGTCAGAGCTGCTGCACACTTACAGCAAGGTGGACGCGTTTGATGTGCTGATCCTGTGCGTGCGCGTGGCCGTGCTGACAGCGGTTACACTCACGGTGCCAATTGTTCTGTTCCCGGTAAGCCAGTGGGCAGGTAGCCAGACCAATGGAGAGGTGAGGCTGATGAGGCCGACAGCTGATGGCTCTTCCTGTCTGCACCCCAGGTGCGCCGCGCCATCCAGCAGATGCTGTTTGAGAACCAGGAGTTCAGCTGGCTGCGGCACATACTCATCGCCATTTGCCTGCTCACTTGTATTAACCTGCTGGTCATCTTTGCCCCCAACATCCTGGGCATCTTCGGGGTCATTGGTGAGGGTCTGGCTGTAGAAGTAGGGTATTGCCCCAGAGAATTTCACTTTCCTGGCATATTTCTGAGCTCACACCCTACATTTAAGTAATGGCTATTAGCCATGCAAAGTTTGGCCTCCCATCTGAGCTTTTGTCCTTAAGGCTATTCTAATCTCTTTTGAGGGCTAAGACCACTGAGTCTTTCATTCTTTTTTTTTTTTTTTTGAGACAGAGCCTCAAGCTGTCCTCCTGGGTAGAGTGCTGTGGCATTACAGCTCACAGCGACCTCCAACTCCTGGGCTAAAGCGAGTCTCCTGCCTCCGCCTCCCAAGTAGCTGGGACCACAGGTGCCCACCACAGCGCCCGGCCATTTTTTTTGGTTGCAGCCGTCATTGTTGTTTGGCGGGTCCGGGCTGGGGATTCGAACCGGCCACCTTAGGTGTACGTGGCTGGCGCCTTAGCCGGTTGAGCTATAGGCGCTGAGCCGAGTCTTTCATTCTTGCTGGGGAACAAAGTTGGACCTCAGGGGCCAGGGGTCTCTACAAAGGATCTTGTTGGGTATTGTCCCTATTTAATTTATGAGGAAACTAAAGTTCAGAGTGATTAAAGAAGCAACAACAGGCTTGGCGCCTGTGGCTCAAGTGGCTAAGGCGCCAGCCACATACACCTAAGGTGGCCAGTTCAAATCCAGCCCGGGCCTGCCAAAACAACAATGACGGCTACAGCCAAAAAATAGCTGGGTATTGTGGCAGGTGCCTGTGGTCCCAGCTACTTGGGAGGCTGAGGCAGGAGACTCGCTTGAGCCCAGGAGTTGGAGGTTGCTGTGAGCTGTCATGTCACGGCACTCTACCCAAGGGGACAGCTTGAGGCTCTGTCTCAAAAAAAAAAAAAAAAAGAAGCAACAACAAGTCAGGCACAGTGGCTCACGCCTTTGGGGAGGCGGAGGCAGGTGGATTGCCTGAGATCACAGATTCTAACTCCAGGTTCGAAACCAGCCTGAGCCAGAGCAAGACCTCATCTCCGAAAATAGCTGGGCATTGTGGTGGGTGCTTGTAGTCCCAGCTACTTGGGAGGCTGAGGCAAGAGAATCACTTCAGCCCAAGAGTTGGAGGTTGCTGTGAGCTACAATGCCACAGCACTCTACTGAGGGCTATAAAGTGAGACTCTGTCACAAAAAAAAATAAAATAAAGAAGTAGCAGGGCCACACCGCCTTGATTCAGCCCCAGGATCATCTGACTCCAGGTTTGGTATCTGTCTACTGCCCCATCCCAGACGTGGCTCTGAACTGGAAAATCAGGAAATTTTGAAATATTTTTTGGGTGACCCAACTCCGGGGATTGACTCCCCAACCCAACTCTGCAGGGGCTGACAAACAGACCTGGAAGCTGAGTACCAAGGATATCATGGACAGTACTCTTGGTTCTATGTGTCTGAAATCCAACTCAAAATGAAGTAAGCAGAAAAGAATGCATTGGTCAAATAATGGCAAAGCCTTCACAAATAGCAGTATCCGGGAGACCAATATCCTATGGCTTTGTCTGTCTCTACCCCTTGACTTGCCTTTCCCCATTGCTAGTTCATTCACTGACATTCTGACGCCAGCAGCAACAGCTTTCCATTCTGGTGGATTGAAAACAAGAGGGAGGGTGGCGCCCATAGCTCAGTGTGTAGGGCACCGGCCACATAAACCAAGGCTAAGTGGTTTCAAGCCAGACCCAAGCCTGCTAAACAACAACGACAACTGCAACCAAAAAATAGCCAGGTTGGGGCAGCACCTGTGGCTCAGTGGGTAGGGCGCTGGCCCCATATACCGGGGGTGGCAAGTTCAAACCCAGCCCCAGCCAAATTGCAACAACAACAAAAAAATAGTCAGGCATCGTGGAGGGCACCTGTAGTCCCAGCTACTCAGGAGGCTGAGGCAAGAGAATTACCTAAGCCCAGGAGTTGAAGGTTGCTGTGAGCTGTGACACCACGGCACTCTACCAAGGGCAATAAAATGAGACTCTGTCTCTACAAAAAAAAAAAAAAAAAAAAAGCCAGGTGTTGTGGTGGGCTTTACTTGGGAGGCTGAGGCAAGAGAATCACTTAAGCCCAAACGTTTGAGGTTGCTGTGAGCTGTGACACCAGAGCACTCTACCGAGGGCGACATAGTAAGACTGTCTCAAAACAAACAAAACAAAACAAAACAAAAACAAGAGGGAGAGCCTGGTGGGCTTCCTAGAATCAGGCAGAGCTACAGAAATTCCCTCACTGAGTAATGTCTGATCTCATTGCAAGGTTCACCCTCAAACCAAACCTTAGCCAACAGGTGGACATGATCCAAGGCCATGTCTTGTTCTTTGCAGGTGCCACATCTGCCCCATGCCTCATCTTCATCTTCCCTGCCATCTTCTACTTTCGAATTGTGCCCACTGAGAAGGAGCCTGTGAAATCTACCCCCAAAATCATGGTGCGAGGGGCCTGGAGGCTGGTGGGCTGGTGTGGGGCTAAGGTGCTACCCTGGCCTTGGGGCTGACCCTGACTTCTGATTCCACAGGCTCTTTGTTTTGCTGTGCTTGGCCTCTTGCTGATGACCATGAGCTTGAGCTTCATCATCATTGACTGGGTTTCAGGGACTGGCCAGCATGGAGGAAGCCACTAGAGAATCCATCCTGTTCTGTCTACCTGTCCTAGAACCCCTGTCCAGACTCTCTAGCCCCTGCTCCCATCCAGCAGCCAGTGCCGGTAGGAGAAAGATGCAATTAACACTATGGCATTTGGCCCCATGTCCTCTCTGGAGAAGGTTTTTATTAAGGAACCAGGACCAAGGCCCTTAGGTCATCACCCTGCTGGCTCCAGAGCCACAGGGGCTTCCTGAACTGGGAGCAGGATGGGGCTGTCATCTCAGATCCAACTCAAGCTCCTCCAACCACCCTTGCACAGATGCATACTCTGAGGCCCAGAAGCTGCTTCTTGAGGTTTCTCAGCCTGTAGAGGCACATAGAGCTGGAACCCATGCCTGCAGCCCTTCTCCCACACTGCTGCAAGGCCATGTCTGCACCATGGGGCCTCTTCTGCCCCAGCCCACTTGTTTTTCCTCCTTCTATCCCCTAGACCCCGTTCAGTCACTTGGGGTCAGGCCTTTGGATGCTCTTCTCACATGCCCTCCACAGGAAACCTCACCCTACCCCATAGCTGGGCTGGGGCCAGCAGGTTCTGCTAAGGGTGGGGCTGGTATGTAGCTACCCACAAGGGACTATTGCCCTGCCCCTTCACCAGTCCTGGGGAGGCTGGGACTCCCTCACCCCAAGCCTGGGCCATAGCACACATTCCACTGCTGGGGGAAGAGAGAGGCTGGGCCTAAAATGTCCTGCCCTTGGGAGCCAAAGACCCCTAGGGCCAGACTGGGGCAGAATGGGGAGGCTGGCAGCTCCCTTTTATAAATATTATACATAAGACCTGCTGTGTTTTATATTTTTGATCTCTGTGGACCCTAGGTTCCTGAAAAGTGAAGTGGGAGCCAGGACACGGGTGGTGATAGAGGCTCCCGTCTCCTTATCTAGGATAAGGGTGGGAATAGGGCAAGTTCCCCACCCACCCTGTCCCTGCCTCCCAGACCAAGCAGTGGCATACTCAGACCCAGCTCTGGGCCTGGGCCAGGCTCTACACAGACCTGCTTTCTCACGGGGTGAGGTGGGGAGGAATTAATGAGGCTCCAGGAAGTAGGACAGAGAGTGGCCTCCGGAAGGAGGCAACGTGAGGTGCATCCCCAGCAGCTTCAGGGAGGGTCTAAATTGGGGGCAGCTGAGCCCTGAGGGTGCTCGAAGAAGGGCCTGCTCTCCCCTGGCTCTCAGACTGCCATGTCAACTCTATCAATGCCTTGAGTCTAGGGACAAAAGTCCAGAGATCTTGTGCCCTATTGGGCTAATCTTTTTATTAATAGTAAACTCTACCATGAATAAAGGTGAGTTAGTGAATCCCTGTGGGGGAGATCCTAAATGACAGGGCGGGGAGTCCAAGCTGGGGCGGGGGCTGCAAGGAGGCAGGGTAGCCCCAGGTGTCCTGGCTGGGTGGGACTGGAAAGCTGCCCACTGCCTGGAGCAGGCCTGACCCAGCTGGGGCCCAGGGGGATGGAGCTACCCAGGCCTTGGCACCAAACCCTCATTAGGACAGACCCTGCACCAGGCTAGGCAGCTGGGGAAAGGGCAGCAGGAAAAATCCAGTTTGAACTTGCAAAGCAGCTGCCAGCTTGGGAAACCCCTAAAGAAAGAACTTCTCAAGTCGGTGGCTGCTAGGCCCAAGGCAGTGCCAGCTGGGCAAAGGGGGGCTTCCTGAGTCCCGTTCCCATCAGCCAGAGGCACCTGGCTCTAGCAGCCAGGAGCCCTGTGGCCCCAGGAAAGAGCTGGACACCAGCCTAGGGGTTGACACAGTCCAGTCATTCTGGTGTGAAGGATTGCCCTCTGGGGGTTTCTGGCCTCTTCCCCATTATATGGGGGCCATAGCCATACCTGGAGCCCTTGGCTCTCTGGGAGTGGGGGGCAATAAAGGGCAGAGTCCAGGCCAGGAATGGTGGCTCACACCTGTAATCCTAGCACTTTGGGAGACTAGGCAGATCACTTGAGGTCAGAACTCTGAAACCAGCCTGGGCAACAGGAAGACCCCATCTCTATAAAAATAGAAAAATGAGCTGGGCATAGTGGCACGCATCTGTAACACCTCAAGCTACTTAAGAGGCTGAGGCAGGAGGGTCACTTGAGCTCAGTGAGGTATGATGATGCTACTACTCTAGCCAGAGTGACAGAGCAAGACCTTATGTCAACAAGAAGAAGAAGGCAGAGTCCATCCTGTAGACAGAACCTGGGAGTCTTTTCTCTTATCCTCTCCTTCCAAAGGAAAGTTACAGGTGAGAACAGCAATAGGACACTGAGTTTGGATTCAGGCCTCTGAGACCAAGGGGATGTGCTAACAGCTGCCTCAGCCAGGTGTGGTGACTCATGCCTGTAATCCTAGCACTTGGGAGGTCAATGCAGGTGGATTGCCTGAGCTCACAGGGTCAAGACCAGCCTGAGCAAGAGCAAGACCTCATCTCTAAAAATAGCTGGGCATTGTGGCAAGCGCTGTAGTCCCAGCTACTTGGGAGGCCTAGGCAAGAGAATTGCTTGAGCTCAAGAGCTTGAGGTTGCTGTGAGCTATTATGTCACAGCACTCTACCGAGGGTAACAAAGTGAGACTTTGTCTAAAAAAAAAAAAAAAACAGTTGCACCCCCCACACTGATTCACCTAGTGTAGGGGAAGGGGGGGAAGAATGAAGAATCTTGGCCCTGAGTGACCATCTCTGACTGCCCAGTCAGGCCTGAGAATGGGCACCCGGCTCCAACAGGGAGAGAACAGGTGATGTGGTCAGGACGTGAGATTCAAATCCCAAGTGTCAGCCAGCACGGTGGCTCATAACTATTATCCTAGCACTCTGGAAGGCTGAGGCTGCAGGATTACTTGAGCTTTGGCATTCAAGGCCAGCCTGAGCAAGAGTGAGACACTGTCTCTATAAAAAATAGAAAATTAGCCAGGTGTTTTGGTGGGCACCTCTAGTCCTATCTGCATGGGAAGCTGAGGCTGGAATATCACTTGAACCCAGGAGTTTGCAGAGCTCTATCATGACACTACGGCGCTCTAGCCTGGGCAACAGAGTGAGACCCTCTCTCAAAAAAAATAAAAATAGGCCAGGTAATCCTAGCACTCTGAGAGGCTGAGGTAGATTTTTTTTTTTTGCAGTTTTTGACCGAGGCTAGGTTTGAACCTGCCACCTCCGGTATATAGGGTGAGAGCCCTACTCCTTTGAGCCACAGGCACTGCTGGTAGCCAGATTGTTTGAGCTCAGGAGTTCAAGACCAGCCTGAGCAAGAGCAAGACCCCATCTCTGCTAAAAATAGAAAAGCTAGCTGGGCATCGTGGCAAGTGCCTGTAGTCCCAGCTACTCGGGAGGCTGAGGCAAGAGGATCTCGTGAGCCCAAAAGTTTGAGGTTGCTGTGAGCTATGATGATGCCAAAGCACTTCACCCAGAGCAACAGAGTGAGACTGTCTCAAAAAAAAAAAAAAAAAAAAGGCTCGGCGCCTGTGGCTCAACCGGCTAAGGCGCCAGCCATGTACACCTAAGGTGGCAGGTTCGAATCCCCAGCCCAGACCCGCCAAACAACAATGACGGCTGCAACCAAAAAATAACCAGGCGTTGTGGCGGGCGCCTGTGGTCCCAGCTACTTGGGAGGCGGAGGCAGGAGACTCGCTTGAGCCCAGGAGTTGGAGGTTGCTGTGAGCTGTAATGCCACGGCACTCTACCTAGGGGGACAGCTTGAGGCTCTGTCTCAAAAAAAAAAAACAAAAAAAAACCAAGGCTAACCCCTCCTAGCACAGTGGTTACTGTACCAGTCACATACATAGAGACTGGCAGGTTCAAAACTGGCCTGGGCCAGCTGAGGCAACAATGACAACTGTAACAAAAAATAGCTGGGCTTTGTGGCAGACACATGTAGTCCCAGCTACTTGGGAGGCTGAGGCAAGAGAATCATTTAAGCCCAAGAGTTGGAGGTTGCTGTGAGCTGTGATGCCACAGCACTCTACTGAGGGCAACACAGTGAGACTCTGTCTCAAAAAAGAAAAAAGAAAAAAAATTAGCCTGGCATAGTAGTGTATGCCGATAGTCCCAGCTATTTAGAAGGCTGAGGATCACTTGAGCCCAGGAGTTGGAAGTTGCAGTGAGCTGCGATGACACTACTGCACTCTAGCTCAGGTGACAGAGTTCAACTCTGTCTCAAGAAAAAGCCAGGTGTTCACATGAGTCTTTGAAAATTAGTATCCCTTATCCCTGACTGTCAAGTTCTAGCCACTCAGCCTCTGTGAGGATGGGTTGTCAGACACTTGGCCATCATAAACATTTTTGTATGCTTTGAAGACGTTCCCGGCTCAGTGCCTGTGGCTCAAGCGGCTAAGGTGTCAGCCACATACACCTAAGGTGGCGGGTTTGCATACAGCCCAGGCCCGCCAAACAACAATGATGGCTGCAACCAAAAAATAGCTGGGTGTTGTGGTGGGCGCCTGTGGTCCCAGCTACTTGGGAGGCGGAGGCAGGAGGCTTGCTTGAGCCCAGGAGTTGGAGGTTGCTGTGAGCTGTGATGCCACAGCACTCTACCCAGGGCAACAGCTTGAGGCCCTGTCTCAAAAAAAAAAAAAAAAAAGAAGTTCCCAGGTTTTTTCTTTCTTTATGCTTTTCAAAAATTGTTCTGGGCTGGGCACTGTGGCTTACACCTATAACACTCCCACCTCTCGGAGGCTAAAGTGGGTGGATCCCTTGAGCTTAGGAGTTCAAGACCAGCCTAAGCAAGAGCCATACTCTGACTCTACTAAAAACAGAAAAGCAAGGCATGGTGGCACTTGCCTATAGTCCCAGCTACTCAGGAGGCTAAGGCAAGAAGATCTCTTGAGCCCAAGAATTTGAAGTTACCTTGAGCTACAATGATGCCGCAGCACTCTAGAGCAACACAGTGAGAACCTGTCTCAAAAATAAATAAATAAAATTGGCAGGCATTCTTCCTTCCTTTCTTTCTTTTTTTGTTTTTGTTTTTTTTTGAGACAGAGTCTCACTATGTCACCCTCAGTAGAGTGCTATAGTGTCACAGCTCACAGCAACCTCCAACTCTTAGGCTTACACAATTCTCTCGCCTCAGCCTCCCAAGTAGCTGGGACTATAGGCACCCGCCACAACACCCAGCTATTTTTTTGGTTGTAGTTGTCATTGTTGTTTGGCAGGCCCAGGCTGGATTCCAACCTGCCAGCTCCGATGTATGTGACTGGCGCCCTAGCTGCTAAGCTTCAGGTTCTGAGCCCTTCCTTTCTTTCTTTGGGATGCCAGCCCATCTCCCTGCTCTCTTCTCTCTTTGCTCACTCTCTTTCCTCTCTTATTCCTTCTCTCTTTCTAAAATAAAATAAAGTTTAAATATATATATTTATTTTTTTCAGACAGTGCTGTGGCATCACAGCTCACAGCAACCTCCAACTCTTGGGTTTATGTGATTCTCTTGCCTCAGCCTCCCAAGTAGTTGGGACTACAGGTGCCCACCACAATGCCCAGCTATTTATTGTCATAGTTGTCAATGTTGTTTATCAGGCCCGGGCTGAGTTAGAACCCACCAGCCTCGGTGCATCTGGCTGGTACCTTAACCACTGTGCTATGGGTGCCAAGCCTAAAGTCTATACTTTTATGTCCTTAAAAAAAAATTGTTCTGGGGTGGCCCAGTGGTTCAGTGGGTAGGGCGCCAGCCCCATATACCGAGGGTGATGGGTTCGAACCTGGCCCTGGCCAAACTGCAACAAAAAAATAGCTCGGTGCCTGTGGCTCAGGCGGCTAAGGCGCCAGCCACATACATCTGAACTGAGGGGTTCGGATCCAGCAGGGGCCCGCCAAACAACAATGATGGCTACAACCAAAAATGGCTGGCATTGTGATAGGCACCTGTGGTCCCAGCTCCTTGGGAGGCGGAGGCAAGAGAATCGCTTGAGCCCAGGAGTTGGAGGTTGCTGTGAGCTGTGATGTCACAGCATTCTACCCAGGGCAACAGCTTAAGGCTCTGTCTTAAAAAAAAAAGTGCTAGGCATTGTGGTGGGCACCTGTAGTCCCTTCTACTTTGTTAGAAGAGTGCCTGGCACATAGAAAAGCTCAAAATACTTGTTCAGTGTCTCAGTGCCTGCAGCTCAAGCGGCTAAGACACTAGCTGCATACACCAGAGCTGGCAGGTTTGAATCCAGCCCAGGCCTGCCAAACAACAATGACAACTACACCCAAAAAATAGCTGGGCATTGTGGAAGGCGCCTATAGTTCCAGCTACTTGGGAGGCTGAGGCAAGAGAACTGTCTAAGCTCAGGAGTTGGAGGTTGCCCTGAGCTGTGACGCCTTAGTACTCTACCAAGGGCAACAAACTGAAACTCTGTCTCAAAAAAAAAAAATTGTTCTGAAAAAAATTGCTGTTTGGAATATTGACAAATTAGAGCAGCCAGAAGGTCCAGCACAGAAGTCTTCTGTATTTCTTATGACAGGTTTGACTGCTTGTTGCAGAAAAATAAAACCACATAGCCCAGGAAAAGGGGCAAGAGCATCTGTCTCAGTCTCCCTATCTAGGGGCTGCTCTTGCCCACACGCTCCCCACCCAAATGCATAGGCACACTTTTGCCTCTCAACTAAAAAGGGATTCCTTCATTCATTAAACAAGTTTTTTTTCCTTTTTTTTTTTGAGACAGAGCCCCATGCTGTCACCCTGGGTAGAATGCTGTGGCCATCACAGTTCACGGCAACCTCCAACTCTTGGGCTTAAGGGATTTTCTTGCCTCAGCCTCCCAAATAGCTGGAACACAGGCGCCTTCCACAATGCCCAGCTATTTTTTGGGTGTAGTTATCATTGTTGTTTGACAGGCCTGGGCTGGATTCGAACCTGCCAGCTCTGTTATATGCAGCTGGCGCCTTAGCTGCTTAAGCTACAGGCGCTGAGCCACTGAACAAGTATTTTGAGCTTTCCTATGTGCTAGGCACTCTTCTAATGCCTGTAAATATAGTAGTAAACAAAGCAAAGACCCCGTCTTCCTTGTACTTACATCCTAAGTAGAGAATTGCATTCAGACCAGAAACATTAAACATAACTACACAGGGGTCCTCAAACTTTTTAAACAGGGGGCCAGTTCACTGTCCCTCAGACCGTTGGATGGTCGGACTGCGGGCCCACGGGACAAGTCGGCTGCTAAGCAGGACAGGCAGAGGCAGCAAAAACACCTGGAGGGCCAGATAAACATCCTCAGCAGGCCCATGTGGCCCACGGGCCATAGTTTGAGGATGCTTGCATTTGTTAGAAGATGCTTAGTCCTATGGGGAGTAAAATGTCAAAGTATGGGCATAGGAAAAGGAAGTTAGGAGGTGGAACAGAGTGGGCCTAAGAAAAGGACTTTTTTTTTTTTTTTTTTTTTTTTTTTTGAGACAGACCCTCAAGCTATCCCCCTGGGTAGAGTGCCATGGCATCATGCTCACAGCAACCTCCAACTCCTGGGCTCAAGCGAGTCTCCTGTCTCAGCCTCCCAAGTAGCTAGGACTACAGGCGCCCGCCACAACGCCTGGCCATTTTTTTGTTGCAGCCATCATTGTTGTTTGGCAGGCCCGGGCTGGGGATTCAAACCTGCCACCTTAGGTGCATGTGGCTGGCGCCTTAGCCGCTTGAGCCAGAGATTTGGAGAGGGAAGAAGACATATGGATGCCTCCAGGGGAAGGTTCCAGTCAGTGGGATCAGCCAGTGCAAAGCCCTGAGGCAGAATGTGCCTGGCATGTGAAAGGAGCAGCCAAGAGGTGGCCGCTATGGCTGGAGCTGAGTGAGATAAAAAAAGGGTAGAAGGGGACTAATGAGGAGGGCAAATGTTGTGGACTCTTATCAGCCACTATAGGACTTGAGAGTATTTTTTCTGGGTAAGATGAGAGCCAATGCCAAGTCCTGACAGAGGAGGGGGGAAGATCTGAATTGGTAGCAACTCTAAGTTTTTTTGTTTGTTTGTTTTGTTTTTTAGAGACAGAGTCTTGCTTTGTTGCCCTCGGTAGAGTGCCATGGCACCACAGCTCACAGTAACCTCCAGCTCTTGGGCTTAGGCGATTCTCTTGCCTCGGCCTCCCATGTAGCTGAGACTACAGGTGCCCGCCACAACGCCTGGCTATTTTTTATTGCAGTTTGGCCCAGGGCCAGCTTCAAACCCACCACCCTCAGTATAGGGGGCTGGCACCCTATTCACTGAGCCACAGGTGTCACCCTCTAACTTTTTTTGTTTTGTTTTGTTTTGTTTGTTTTTGTGGCAGAGTCCATGTTGCCCTGGGTAGAGGGCTTTGGTATCATCACAGCTCACAGCAACCTCCAACTCTTGGGCTTAATCGATTCTCTTGCCTTAGCCTTGGTGTACGTGGCTGGTGCCATAACCACTGTGCTTAGATTATTCTGGCTACTGCACTGAGACTAGACTAAGGGGTAGGGGAGGGGGCCATAGGCAAAGGTAGGGGTGAGGGGGAAAGTAGAACTGGAAAAAGCAAATGTAGACAACTTGTGTGAAATGAGAGGGGCAGAGCCAATAGTAGCTTTTAAGGAAGCTAGAGCTCTCATTTAGGTAACACACAGACTAAAATTGGAAGAATACAAAGAAGATTAGCAGGGCGGTTCCTGTGGCTCAAAGGAGTAGGGCGCTGGCCCCATATGCCAGAGGTGGCAGGTTCGAACCCAGTCCCGGCCAAAAACTGCAAAAAAATAAAAAAAAGAAGAAGAAGAAGATTAGCATAGTCCCTATGCAAGGATGATATGCAAATTTGTGAACTGTTCCATACATTTAAAAAGAAAAAAAAAAAAAACACTAAACTAAAGACCAGAAAGAAGAAGCTATTGAAGGTGAGAGTATGGAAGAAGTTAGTAGGATGGTAGATTGGAGCTAGAGGAAGCACTTCTGGGATCAGGGTGTGGGGGAAATTAGCTGAAAGACAGGAGATGAAGGTTAGCAGTGGGATGTGGACATCAGGGAGTGTTCAGGGTGTCCACTGTCCTGGCTCGCCAAGTGTTGGTGGCTAGGGACACAGTGGGTCCAAGATGCAGCCAGGGACAGCAAAGAACAAGTGAAGAGACCCAGGGGACTGATCCAGCCAGACGTCTGCCTTGATCCCAGTTTAAAGTCACTCAGCAACTGACTTTCTTTCAAACAACTTGGAGCAGTAATAATTGAGAGTGGGCGGCGCCTGTGGCTCAGTGGGTAGGTTGCCAGCCCCATATACCGAGGGTTTGAACCCGGCCCCGGCCAAACGGCAACAAAAAAATAGCCAGGCGTTGTGGCGGGCCCCTGTAGTCCCAGCTACTCGGGAGGCTGAGGCAAGAGAATCGCCAAAACCCAGGAGTTGGAGGTTGCTGTGAGCTGTGTGACGCCACTGCACTCTACCGAAGGGGATAAAGTGAGACTCTGTATCTAAAAATAAATAAATAATTGTTTGAGAGTTACTCTTAAAGAAAGAGCAGATCTGGAAAAAATCTGAAAGAACAAAAGTTTTCAAAACTACACACGTCTGCAAACCCTCCTGGCCATGCTCAGATGGATTTGAAGAGGATTAGTTAGCGACCTAATCCCCTCAAATCCGCGGTAGGCGGCCTCTACTGACCCCTGGCGGTGATCAGCCGGACTCCGGCTTGAACTCGGCACGTTACTCCTCGCGATGGCTGGTAAGCCATGGGGCTGAGCCTTGAAAGTCCAGAACAGTACTGAAAGGCTTCCTGGATGGTGCCTGGGAGGAAAGCAGGCAGAAAAGATGGGGGCAGAAGGGACGTCTTGGAGGTTGTCCAGGAGGGGCCACGGCCTCGACGCTAGGCATTGTGGGCAGGTGAGTACTGTACAGACGTCTTGATCTTGGAGGGGGCCCCCGGACCAGAGGAAGACGCTGGATCCTCAGACCTACCCTTGGCCAAGTGTTCTGAAAGTCCCTCCAAGTATTACTGAACTCTTCCCTTTGTCCTCCCGACGTCTTTGGTGTCAAACTCAGCAGGGCACCAGACTGTGAGCGAGAGATGGGCACATAGCCGCCTGGCCCTCAGAAAGTAGGCAAGGTACCCAGCGGAGAGAATCACCCAAGTCACCGTCTGATCTCCGCTGGGAAGTGGAAACGCAGAAGGGAGGGAGCGTCCTGGAACGGAGGGTGTGAAGACACCAAGATCAGAGGAAACAGAAAGGCGGTGTCATTGGAGACATTCTAAAGATGCGCCAAAGGTGGGAGGGTCTGGCGGGTTTGGGCCCGGAGCGAAGCAAGGGTGATGGCGTATCATGGAGGTTTGGGAGAGAGAGGACGCCAAACGGAGGGAAAACCTCGATGGCGGCTTGGCGCCTGTGGCTCAAGCGGCTAAGGCGCCAGCCACATACACCTAAGGTGGCGGGTTCGAATCCCCAGCCTGAGCCCGCCAAACAACAATGATGGCTGCAACCAAAAAATGGCCAGGCGTTGTGGCGGGCGCCTGTAGTCCCAGCTACTTGGGAGGCAGAGGCAGGAGACTCGCTTGAGCCCAGGAGTTGGAGGTTGCTGTGAGCGAAAAAAAAAACCTCGATGGCCACGTAATGGTAGGTAGGCAGAGGCGGAAGCGGAGGCACAACCTGACACACCATGCTGGCCCTCACCCTATGGCGTTTGTACTGGCTGACAGCTCAGGCGGGAACGCAGGCAAGGTGCTGACCATTGTTAGTAATAGCTGGGAGAGAAGACCGCAGCTAGGGGGTGAGAGGCCGGCCTCGGATCCCGCGCTGCGCCCCAGGCCCGCCAGGAGGCGCCTCTGCCCCGCAAACCTGTTCCTGGCCTCTTACAGCCACCGAAATCCCGCGCCGCGGCCTAGAGAGGCCCCGGAAGAGGCTGGGCAGCACGTCTTGAAACCGCTTCCGGCTTTGGCTGGCCAGGGAGGAGGAGTCGGAGTTGGGGGCTGACGCCGTGGGCGGGGCGGGGCGCGGTCTAGAGAGTTTGAGGGCTGGGCGAGAACAGGTGTGGTCCAGTGAGCTTGCACCTTTCAAGCTTGAACCCTGCGCGACTCTTCGGCTCCACGCCTGAACCGCCCAGCCTTTTACCTTGTGAAGTGCGGTCCTGGGGTCCCTCGGCTCTGGCGGGGAAGGCTTCTTGGAGGTAGAAAGGTGCAGAAAGGCAGGGAAGCAGATATGAGGAGGTTGGGGACCTCTTTAGACTGATCTTTATGTGTTTGAGCAATGCACTTTTGGAGGACAAGCCTTCCTACAGGGAAGGCCGAATGAGGGACCAGCCAGTTTAGATCTGCTGGAGGAAACAACTCAACCCAGTTAAGTTCCCCCCTCATCAGCTTACTTATCTTGGAAGACGTAGGACAGCCCTGTCCCCATATGCTTCACGCCATCACCCTTATGTGGTGGCCACCCCTGCCTCCCTACTCCCTACCTTCTCTCTTGTCCTCAGGCCATACTACTTCTTCGTGTTTTTGTTTGTCTGTTTGAGACAGAGTCTCTGGCGCCCTGGGTAGAGTGCTTTGACGTCACAGCTCACAGCAACCTCAAACTTTGGGGCAGCGATTCTCTTACCTCAGCCTCCCAAGCAGCTGGGACCACAGGCACCCGCCACAACATCCAGCCATGTTTTTGTTGTAGGTGTCATTGTTCTGCAGGCCCAGGCCCAGGCCAGGTGTGAACCCACCAGCCCAGGGGTATGTGGCCTGCGCCCTAAGTACTGAACTGTGGGTGCTGAGCCCGTACTTCTTATAACAACTAGAGAAGAGTGACCAGACATCCCACTTTTGGCGGGACAGTCCCGCTTTTTAACAATTTGTCCGGCGTCCCACGTTTTAAAAAAAATCCCGATTTTTGGAAAGAATGCACGAACAGGCTGGAGAACAGGAAGTGAATATACAGTTTTCGGCTGCCATGTGGCTATTTCGCCAGAATTTGAGTTTTATATTATTTTTGTTAATTTTATAATGTTAAACTGTAATAATAAGAAATAATTGTTGAGAAGTGATTATCGAGAACTGCTTATCAAAG